ATTTAAATTGAAAATCACTTTTAAAAAGGTAATTCTCCCTTATAATGTTTACAATTGAATTCCTTATTAATACGGAGCTTCTCCTAGCCATTGGAAATGTGACGCAGGAGCTGGCTGCTGTGGTGCAGCGGGTTAAGTCACTGCAGGAGACACCCCCGTCCCATATCAGAGTGCCTGGCTCCAAGTCCGCCTCTGCTCCACCTCCCCGCTAACGGACACCCTGGGAGGAAGCAGAGGATGGCTCAGGTACTGGGTCCTTGCCACACACGGGAGACATGGATGGAGTTCCTGGCTCCTGGATTTGGCCTGGCCCAGTCAGGTATTTGAGAAGTGAGCCAGTGGATGGAAGTTCACTCTCGTGCTTGCTCGCTCGCTCGCTCTCCTTCTCTCCCTCTCTGCCTTTCAAATAAATAAAAATGTAATAAATAAATCTAAAATATGACTCAGTTTACAGAAATGCAGTGTATCTGTCAGATCTTCAGACAAGAAAGAGCAAGTGGCTTATGTCATTGTATCATGGGAAGACAAAGGGGGGATCTCAAGGCACACAAATCACTACACATATACAAACCGTTGGAGGTTCCATACCCCTGACAATGTGCCCGTGAAGTGGTGCAGGGGCTCAGGCTGCCACATGTGACGCTGGTACCCCATATCAGAGTGCCGGTTTGAGCCCAGCTGCTCCTCTTCCAATCCAGCTCCCTGCTAATGCACCTGGGAAAGCAGCAGAAGATGGTCCGAGTGCTTGGGCTCTTGCCACCACATAGGAGACCCTGATGGAATTGCTGGCTTTGAGAACACTTTTGTGACCCAACCCAGCCCAAGCTGTTGCAGCCATCTGGGGAGTGAACCAGTAGACAGAAGATTTTCTCTCTCTCTCTCTCTCACTCTCTCTCTCACTCTCATTGTGTCATTCTGCCTTTCAAATAAATAAAAGTAAATCTTAACAACCAAAAAGGTCAAAATGACCAGAACCCCAAGATAGCTTCCTAATTTTCTAAACTGTTAATCATAAGGATCAGTGACTGTGACCACAACGCCCGGAGGAAACACAGATTGACAAGAATACTGGAAAGAGTCTTGAAACTCCCATGTCTGTGCCTACCTCTATCCAGAAGATTCTGTCCGCAGATCCATGTTAATGTTTCTCAACCTTTTTTTTTGGGCGGGGTGGGTGGGTAGGCGTGTAGGAACTTTCTAGATTTCTTTCCACACCACAGATACACCACATCCCTGTAAGCACTGTGTCTCTTATGGAGGTGGGAGGAGGTACATCAACTATTGTAAAAGTCAAGATTTTTATCATACCTCCTCCAAAAGCCAAGTTTTACTCCCTCCCCTGACAAAACTGGAGATTGCTCCAGGTGCTTATGGCCAGCCCGCTACATCTGCAGGTCCCACACACAGAGATGCAACCAACCAGGGATCAAAAACAACATCTGTTAATGTGTCTGCACTGAACATGTAGAGACTTCTTTCCTTGTCCTGATCCCCTATACAACGCAGTATAGCAACCATTTACACAGTATAGTTGCACCGGGTACTCTAAGTCATCTAGAGATCATGCAAAGTACACAAGAGGATGTGTGGAGACAGTAGGCAAATCCAGCACTGTTTTAAACAAGCGACTTGAGTGGCCATAGATTTTGGTATCCACAGGCACCCCAGAAGCAATCTTCCAAGGACCAAAGGATAATTACATGTGTGCACAGAAAATGGGTGGACCAGATATATCTTCCACTTTCTTCATCCTGTTTCCTAAGTGGGTTCGGCTTCCCACGACAATCAAACATTACCTTCACCAGGGTAGAGCGCACAGAGCCATTAAGGAAGGAAGAAAGTAAACGGTTCTCAGAGGATGAACACAAAGCAGGAGAAACGGTTTTGATTAAGACTCAAGCCAGCAGCTCTGACACAGCCCAGTGTCCAGGCTACAAGGCTCACAGCAGAGATGAGAGCCATGTTGCAGCTCCCCAGTTCTTGTTTTCCTGCCATGCGCCCATGAGATCCTCTCGGAGGACGAGACTGAAACCCATCTGGCAAGGACCACCACAGGTGTGCCCGAGTGCCAAGGACAAAAGGGTCCAGGCAGCTTCCTCTAACCCCAGACCTCGCAAGGTGCACGATCCTTGAAAGCCCACAGGAACCAACTGTTCTGAGAGAGGCTGGTCCTGCTCAGAGACATCTGTGACTTCGGAAACCACGCTTCATCCCCGGGGAGGAACTAAAGGGGGACTGGGGACTGCTGACGTAGCAGCCCAAGACTGTACCCAGCAAGACCACTGGGAGCAAAAGGAGATCAACACGGAAGAGACACAGCTGAAGCCGAATGTTCCGGAATTATCTGACTGCATATTCTCAAACCTTCTCTCCAGTTACTCCCCAGTAGGGTGCATCCTAGAATCAAGTCTTTCCAGTCCTCAGAGTTAAAGAAAAGGGAAGGGAAAAACAGAGCAAGAAAGAAAGGAAAGAGGGAGAGAAGAAAGAAGAGAGGGAAGAGAGAGAGGGAGGGAGGGAAGAAAGGACACCTATATAAGGGGTCTTCAAAAATTCCATGGAAAGCACATGCTATGGAGTAACTATGCATGGATTTGCTTTTTTAAAAAATTGCTCCCAAGTAAACTTGACTTCTAATTCTGTTTTTCATTAACTCTTGAAGTACCCTCACGTTATGTGTGTGCACACACACCAGAAACAAGCCTCACAAAACACCACTAACACTCACCTTTACAAAGGCAATGTGTGTTCCAATATACTCCAGTCTAAGCTCACGTATTTTGCTTTTTAAATGCTGGTCACAGCCGTTCAGATGATGCCCCCCCATCCACGCATGGGCCATGACCTCAGATTTTAGAACACAAATGTATTCCAACCCCTGTGATCCCCAGATGAGAAAGATAAGACTCAGATTAAACCCGGGGTCACAAGGCTATTTCCTGGCAGGAACAGGCTGAATTCAGACCACGGGTAATTGTTGGCTGTTATTAGTGTGATAATTGGAACTCAACTTGCCCCCGCTTCCCCTGCCCGCACTGCCAGGGTACCACTGCCCGTCCTGGACTTCTTTTAATGTTCAAAAGCCCAGGCACCTGATGCTGTATTGATTCTGGTCCCAGGGCACAGTCCCAATCCAGGGGAAGCTACGTCAGGACTTTGGGAAGGGAACAGATTGTATTTGGGCATTGGGTGGGGCTTCCACCATTGACTCCCAGTGATTTTGATTTGGGGAAACTAGGAAGGAAGATTAGGTAGGCGTGGTTGGGCCAGTTTATTTTCTCCCAATAATTTTTGTGTAGCACTGCATTGTAAGTCCACCCCCTCACCTGTCAATCCTGTGCACACAGCTTCCCATAATGCATCTGTACCTCATCCGGGACCAGGAAGGAGGAGACACCATGATGCGATGGACACATGGAAGTTAAGCTCCACATGGAGGCACCATGAAACTCCCAGAAAGCTTCACGCATGCTAAATCTACCTCATCTGAATATTCAATTAGGGCACCACCACCCAGCCCGTAAGAGAAGACTGATGACGTGGGAGCAGCCCACCCTTTGCTCTTGGCTTCTGGACCATGTGTATGGGTTCTTCTGGGGTCCCACCCTCCTCCTCCCTGCCCACTCGTGACGGGCGTCTCTCCACGTGGGATGGCCCACACTCACACGTGAATGCATGCTCACTCTGTCTCACTCTTGGGTAAGTCCCACTCACACTTATATAGGTGTTTATTCTGCTTCTGCTTTGAATTCTTATCTCTGTGGGAGCAAGAGCCTAGAATGAAAACCAGGATATTTATGCCCACAACAGCTCTGTAAGACAGGGAGGCAGACAGAGACAGAGACACTCCTCCTCCTCGTCTCTCCACATGATGCTCTGTGCCACCTCAAGACCCCTACCCGGAGAGCCTGAACCAACAAGACCTGCCCAATATTGGACTGCAAACCTCCAGAACCGTGAGCCAAAATAAACCTCTTTTCTATATAGGAATTTCATTATAGTAGTGAAAAACAAATACACTATGGCTTTCATAAAAACCATGCAAAACAAACCCAGCGTGGACCAGAAAACTATGTCTTCCACTTTACCCTCTGGGGTCCCCAACATGCACTCTACGGGAAGTCTTGAAAAAGTTCATCAGAAAACGTGTACTGTGAAAAAACTATGCGTGGATTTCAAACATGGTTTGCACCAAAATAAACTTCTCATTTAGCTCCATTTTCCTACAGACTTCTTGAAGTCCCCTCATGTTAGCTGAGTTTCACAAAGCAGAGTGAATGACTTTCACAGAGTTCTGTCTCCCACTTAAATCCCTGTGGGGTCTCAGAAGGGAGGACCAGTCTGTACCCCTGGCTTCCAACAGTGCTCAGCAAACCACAGTCTGCAGGGCAAAGCTGGCCGGAAAGCTGTTTTATCACCAAGTTCTGTTACCACACAGCCAGGCCTGGGTTTCACCTTCTCTCTGTGGCTGCTTTTCTGCTCCAAGGGCAGAGCTGAGTCACTGTCAAGGAGGCTGCATGGCCGACAAACCCTACAGTCTTCCCTATCTGCCCCTCTGGCTTATCGGATCCTGCCAGACTCTTTGCAGTAACTGTAGTAAAGCAGACACAGCATCTTACGTGTGTGCATGTGTACATCTGGAGGCGCACGCGTCAGCAGCATTGTGTACATTCACACTGCCACTGCTCTGCCACCATCCCCACCACCCGCCCCCAGAACTCCCCAAACTGAAACTCCGCACTCATTCAATGGTAACTCCCCGTTCTCCCACCCACTCCCTCAGCTCCTGGTAACCACTGTTCTTCTTTCTGCCTCTGCGAATCTGGCATGGCCACTTCCGGGAAATTCCATTCCATTCCTTTTCTTAGAACCCTCAGTAAAAGGCTACCTGGTTTACACTGAAGTCAAGACACACAGATCTATCCTCGGGGCTCCTGGCGCCCCCAGGTGGTCCCTTCCAGCCCCAGGATGCCCTGCCCCCACGTAACACCCACTGCACTCACTTGGGTGTGTGGGCCTCATCCACGCGGTGGCCCAGCTGGAACTCATGGGATTTACTCCGATGCAGGGCTGTGAACCCCGGGATCAAGTGGATCAGCTTTCGGGAGGAGGGTGGTGGGGTCCCCGGTGGCTTCAGCTTGTTCTTCCTCCTCATGGGTGGCGTGCCAGGTGGGGTCACGGTGGTGACGATATTGGGCGTGCGAGGCGGGGTGCGAACTGCGTGCCTCTGACGCGGTGATGGGGGCAGGGAACGGTGGCCTGACTCCAGCGGCGGTGGCGGGCACAGGCCTGGGTAGGCGTCCACAGTGAGCCTGTCCACATGGGTGTAGACGGGCGCCCCCGGTGTGGGGCTGGTGTGACAGTAGTGCTGGACACACTTGGATGGGACCCTGGGGCTTTGGGAAAGATGGGTGCGGATCCACGGGGTGGGCTCGGGGGGGCACACGGGATTGTTCTCCTTGCCCGTCTCTGTGGTGGGCCACTGGATGGTCCAGTCTTGCTTGGAAAGGTTTCCTCCTGCATTGGAATAAAGGAATGGAGAGATGATGGGTAATCGGGTGAGTTGTACCTGTGCACCATTATATCAGATGCATGTCATACCATACGCATCTTACACCATATGTGTACCCCATTAAGTGCACGCTGCATTGTATATTCACCATATGCACACTACATAATCCACTCACCCCATCGAAGGCATGTTATATCATATGTACATTAGACTATATGCATCCTTACATCATATGCACATTACAACATCTGCATCTCACATCAAAGATACACTGCATCATATGAATATCATATGTACATTACAGCATACATGTGTTATACTATAAGCACATTATACTATATGCATGTATCACTACATGCACATTACACCCTATACACGTTACATGACACACATTACATCATATGCATTTTACATCATCTGCACATTATACCATATACACATTACATTATAAGCTTATTTACATGAATTCAGTCACATCCACTTGGCCCCTCAAAAAAAGAGTGAAATCCCTTCATTAGCCCCCATTCAAAATTCTTGACTTCCACTGGCCTATGTCTGGGAAACCCACAATTCAAATGCCCTGAAAAGCAAAGGAGTGAATCCCCACCTCTGGCACTCCAACAGGTCCCAGTTCCAACATTCTGGAGGTGATTTAAAGGATTTTCCAGGATAATTTTCCCATACGTGGTGATGTTAATACCTAACCCCATTTGGGATTCATAAATTCTGCACAAGCCAAGCTCCCCTTGGTCCCCTGTGACCACTTATTTGGCCAATGATCTACCTTACCATGTGCTCACTCATGCATTCACCCACAAGCATTTGCTCAAAGCTGACCATATGCAAAGCAACGCTCTTGGAAAAGGCACAGCAGGAACCTGCAGACGAGGCTCTGGCCTCCTGGACTTGTCTCCTGCCAAAGCAGAGACACAACAGACAAGCAGACAATCGCACTAGGAACAGAAGTCTACACAGTGGAGTGATAAGCCCAGTATGGGCTGAACAGACTGTGGTCCAACCAACCATGGAATACAGCTCAGCCATAAGAAGGCATGAGGCAGAACACCCTAGACCACCAGGGTGAATGCCCGGGGAATGAGGCTGAGTAGAAAAGGTGGATACATGAATTTACACAGGGGATAAAATTACATAGAACTAAATACACTGTGGGTACGAGGAAAACTGGGGAAATCGGAGTAAGACCAGGGGATGGCATCAACGTCAAGTGTCTTGTGCTGTTGTACTATTGTTCTGCAAAATGTGACCACTGTGGGAAACTTGATAAAGCTTACCTGGGATCACTCTGTATTACTGTTTTGAAAAGCAGACAGAGAAACACAGAGATCATCATTCACTGGTTCACCTCCCAGAAGTCCACAACAGCCAGGGCTGAGCCAGGCCAAACCCAGGAGCTGGGAACCCAATCCCGTTCTCCCACATGGGTGGCAGGCAGCACAACACTTGAGCTGTCACCTGCTGCCCCCCAGGGCCCGTATTAGCAGGAAGCTGGACCTGAGAGAGGAGCCAGGACTCAAACCCAGGTACAAACTCCCATATGCGAAGTGGGAGTCCCAAGTGGCATTTTGAGCACTGCACCAAATACCTGCCCTATAACAGTTCTTACAACTGCACACAAATCTTCAATGACCTCAATTAAGAAGTGGATACCATGAAGTAGAGTAGAATCATGCTTACCAGAGTGGTGATTGTGGTGGGGAGAGGGGAAGGAATGCAGAGGGGAGAGTTAACAGGTACCCGGTGCAGCGGAATAGGAGGAATGATGGAAAGCTGTGAAACACCGAAGAGTGACTTTGCCTGATGACAATTAATTGTATGTTTCAAAATAACTAGTAGGGAGGATTTTCAATGTTCCCAACACAAAGAAATGAGAAATGTTTAGGGATGGAAATGTCACACTGTATCCCATGCATATATACAATTGTAATGTATCAATTTAAAAATTTTAATAAATAAGCAAAAATTGTAAGGAAATGATAGGCCAGGGCAGGCATAAAGGAATCCCAACTTGTAGCAAACCAGCAATAATAATAATCACGACTGTAACAACCATGACAAGACCTAACACACAGTGCATCTGACAGTGTACAAAGTGCTTTCCGAACACGGACTCACTGCCCCCTTGAATTAAAACAACTCATTTTGTTATTATATATCCATCATGGAAAAAGCTGAAAACTCAGATAAGGAGAAAGGCAATGTCATTCTTTTAGCTGAAGCATCATCCTTACTAACGGGCCGTGGTGCCTTCCCAATGGTTTTCTGTGCACTGGTTTGTTTTCCCAAAGATTAATTTATTTATTTGAAAGCCAGAGTTAGAGAGTATGAGAGAGAGAGAGAGAGAGAGAATCTTCCATCCACTAGGCACTACCCAAATGGCTGCAACGGCCAGGGCAGGACCAGCTGGAAGCCAGGACCTTCATCTGGGTCTCCCACATGGGTGCAGGGGCTCAAGCACTTGGGCCATCTTCTGCTGCTTTCCCAGGCCATTAGCAGGGAGCTGAATCAGAAGCGGAGCAGCCAGAACACAAAGTATCTATGGGATACTGGTGTATCATGTGACAGATGAACCTGCTGCACTACAATGCCAGCTGCCTTTGCCCTGATCTTTAGGGGGGAAAATGCTCTAAGCACTGATTTCATTCTTTGCCTTTTTTATGGTTTATAATGGGACTGTTTTATATCTCCCGTTTAATTTTTTTATCTTAGTACACAAAAGGTGATTTTGACGTCCATTGTGTGGATAAAGAAGCAAATTCAGAGGGCCAGAGTTAGGTGCAGCAGGTAAAGCCACTGCCCGCGAAGCTGGCATCATGTATGAGCACCAGTTTGAGTCCTGGATGCTCAACTTCTGATCCAGCTCCCTGCTAATGTGCCTGGGAAAGCAGCAGAGGATGGCCCAACTGCTTGGGTCCATGCACCCACGTGGGTGACCCAGAAGAAGTTCCTGGCTCCTGGCTTCAACATGGCCCAGCACCAGCCATTGTGACCCTCTGGACAGTGAACCCGTGGATGGAAGATTTCTCTGTGTCTCTCTCTCTCTCCCTTCTCCCCGCCCCCCCCATCTCGTAATTCTCTCAAAGTAAAGAATTAAAGCTTGAAAGAATGAATGAAACGGGGGGGGGGGGGGAGGGGAGGGGGGAAGTAGTTAATTCAGAGATGAAGATGGCCCAAGGTTATCATTAACAAAAGTGATAATTGGCAGCCAGGACTGAAGCCCAGCAGCTTGGCCACCCTCAAAACCAGGACATACAGAGAGCTAGCGTTTGCATTTGCCAAAGACCACGAACCAGCACAGATCAAAACAGGAAGGATGCTGAACCAAGGGTCTCCCTTTTCACTCCTTCCAGACTTGTGGGAACATTCTACTGAAGCCACCATCACGACGCTATCTACTCTGCAGTATTTATAGTGCACATTAACCCAGTGATGGAGGGGCTCAGTTCTGGAGTCGGGTGACGTGAGCTCCAAACCCAGCTCCCCCGCTTCCTGGCTGTGTGAACTGGGGCACTCCTCTAACCTCCCCGAGACTCAGTTTTCTCTTCTGTGAAATAGGATGGTAATAAGACAGACCTCAGGGACCAGGATGAGGACCAAACGGAAGATGCAAGTAACTGTCTTAGCAGAGCTCCTGGTATGTAGCAGGCACTCTATAAACGTCAGCAACTCTCACAGTAATTCTCAACACTGTGGTGATACGTCCGCATCTGCTACATAGAGACTGGGTGTGAGCGCTGTGCACGGGCCCCTTTTGTACAGCAGGGAGGCTGAAGAACTCCGAGAGCCGGAGGCAGAGCAGGGCCAAGAGGAGATCAACTCCTCCTCCCTCCAGCAAGCTCTTCACTGATGCACAAGCCCATGGTCAGATTAGCCTAAGCTGAACATGTTCAAGGAAGTCAATCTATTTATATTAAGCAATCTCAACCACTTGCTGCAACACAAGGCTACAGAGGAAGAAATCCGGGTTGGGAACCACAAGGATCTGGCTCAAATCCTGGTTCTGGGGCCGGCACTGGGCACAGTGGTTAAGATGCAACATGGGGCCGGCGCCACGGCTCAATAGGCTAATCCTCCGCCTAGCGGCGCCGGCACACGGGGTTCTAGTCCCGGTCGGGGTGCCGGATTCTGTCCTGGTTGCCCCTCTTCCAGTCCAGCTCTCTGCTGTGGCCCGGGAGTGCAGTGGAGGATGGCCCAGGTGCTTGGGCCCTGCACCCCATGGGAGACCAGGAGAAGCACCTGGCTCCTGGCTTCAGATCAGTGTGGTACGCCGACCGCGGCGGCCATTGGAGGGTGAACCAACAGCAAAAAGGAAGACCTTTCTCTCTGTCTCTCTCTCTCTCACTGTCCACTGTGCCTGTCAAAAAAAAAAAAAAAAAAAAGATGCAACATGGGACACCTGCATCCTATATCCGTGTGCCTGGGTTTGAATCCCGGCTCTTTTTCTGCTTCCATCTCCCATGTGGGTGGCAGTGATCCAACCACTTGAGCCATCACCTGCTGCCTCCGAGGGTCTCTGCATCAACTGGAAGCTGAGCCAGAACGCAAACCCAGGGATTCTGATATACATAGGCATCCCAACTGGCATCTTAAACACTGAGCCAGCACTCTCCCTAAGAATACATTCTTTAGCCTGAGTGCACTGGTCTTGAAATTCTGAAATCTGAGCTCAGCTAAGACAGCACCAGGCTCATGGTGGATTTTGTATTTACAAAGACACAGCACAGCTCAGTCCAGCTCTCCTCCTGTCTCTTCTCCCAGCCCATCCCGGAACCTCCAAAGTAGATAGCCCATGACCCTGAAGTACTCACAGGCCAAGCACATCACCCACCGCCTGACACCCTCAGAAGGGCGAGTGATGCCCCTGCATTTGGAAGATGTGCTTATGAACCAAAGGAAGAATTCCTTCTCATAAAAACGCATCAAGCAAGAAAGTAGGCATTTGTATCCTGCACAGGTGACCCTACCCTCTGTGATGTGATGGCTGGGA